ACTGATTGTCAATATTTTGTGAAACATTTGTTTATAGGCTCATCTGAATTAATTCTGAATTCTGTTTTCTACCACATTATTCAATTTCTGATGATCTTGCTGAGATATTTTATCTTTTTTGTCATCACTTAGCCTGGCATCTATGAATCACGAGTAGGGAAATAAGTCATTTGTCAGCCAATGCTCTCTATATAAGCCATCTAAATCAATGAGAATTTAAAAATTTACCATTGAAAGCATATGTAACTATAGACTGCCATCACAGATTAGTGAGTTTAAATTATTGAGTCACTTTCAGCCAGGATGCTTTAGGTTGGATTGTCCTTTCTTGAGTACTGTTGAGCAGCCTTGGGCTACCACATAGCCTTCCCAAAAGCCAGAGCTGTTTTGGATGTGTAAACATCATTTCTTAAGCCATCCCCTGTGCCAGGGTATCTTATTCTTTACCCATTATCAATGCTTATGTCCAGAATCACTGAAGTTTCTACATGTTGTTTATTACCATGTGCCCACACTGCAGATGTATGTAAGTATTCCCAGCATCTGCTCTGACTAGTCTAGTAGTATAGATTTGTTGCATGTAATCTTGGGAGTTTTTTCTGTTCTTTTTTTTTTTCTTTCTACTGTTCTGTTAACTTCTGATTGTTTGCCATTTTGCATACTGACAGGTTCTTATTCTTTGATGTTTGACTACATATTTTTAAACACTTAGTGAACAGTTAATAATTGGTCTCCACCAAGATCACTTTTTTTTTTTTGGTGGGATGGTGTGTGAAGTCATTACCTTGTGTTTGTAAAGAAGGAGTTTTACCACTTGAACTACTCCTCCAATAAATTTTGTTCAAATTATTTTAGAGATGGGGTCTTGTGAACTATTTCCCCAGACTGGCTTCTAACTGGGATCCTCTAGATCTCAGCCTCCCAAGTAGCTTTCTTTACATGTGTGATCCACCAGCAACAGCCAGATCACCATGTTTTTTCACAGCAACCTTAGACATTTAATTTTCTAGGCTCCATCAAATTATATCCGTTTCAGTAGGCAGGAAAAATGTCTTCCTAATATTCCATTGTTAAAGCCATCTCACTACACACCCCTTTCCACTGCTATCTCCACTAGGAGAATTTTGCACCACTGAACACAACCTGACGATGGTGATAAAAGCCTACTTTTCCAGAGTAACACCTTGCTCTATGATGAAACTTGAATGAATGGATGCACAAAAGAAAGGAATGTTGCTGGACATGGTAGCCAAAGCCTGTAATCTGAACAGTTGGCACACTGAGGAATGAGGACAATAAGGTGGAGGTCAGCCTGGCTATATTGTGAAAACCCTATCTCAGACAAACAAAGATGTTATGATACCTGTTGAAACTGTCCAGGAATTGAGGGAGGGGGAAAAAGGAGACAGGTGGAGGGAATAAATCAAATATAATATATTTGATACATTGTAAGAAGCTTTGTGAATGTAAATGCCATAATGTGCCCCCACTCAGCACAACAATAAAGGAAAAAAATTGAAAAATGTATTGAATGTATATGCTACCCAAGCTGATGCACAGAAGTCAAATAATCACATGAAAGTTACTTAACATCATTAAGTGCTATTAAAATTCAAATTAACCACAAAATCAGAAAGTGATACATATGCTGAAATAAAATGCATCATGAAATGATATAATTCAAAATTGGTTATTGACACTTTTCAAGTGTGGTAATGATAGTTCTAAAATAAGTGTTTCTCTGTAACTTTTCATTGATCATTTTAACTTGTAGAAATCTGTTCTTGCATTCTAAAAGTAGGCCAAACATTTTCCTCTATTGCATTTTCTCTGTATGTATCTATGTGTGTTTGTTCACACAGTTGGTACAGAGGAATATTCTTTGTTTCTTAATCTTTGCAATGAAACGGGCTGTCATTCACATGAACTGGTCCTCGACTGTTCACTAAATACTGTTCCTGATTGGAATTTTGGATTTTTTACATTCTGACAATTGAGAGTCATTAGTGATAGAAACCGAGACTTAGTTGCTCACATGGAAATCACATTTTCTAGCCTCTTTTCCTCCTTGATCTGCTCTTTTGACAAAATTCTGTACTTCTTTTCCAGTTTGCACACCTATAAAGGAATAGGTGAGAGCTCCTGTCCTTCACTCCCTCATCGTTATTCTGGGGCATGATGAGGCTTGCCAAGCCAGTGTGAGTATGGATCACTAGGAGTCTGGTATCTCAATTTTCAATTTAGGACAATGTCTATTTTTAAAGAAAATATCAGTTTATATCATAAGTAACATGTGATTATAATGTTCTGATGTTTTCAAGGCTCATATTTCTCAATGACCACCAAAAAGGAAGTGTACCTTAGAATTTATAAATGAAATAGTATAGCCAGACAGTTTTTGTTACTTTACCAAATTCCTTGAGTACCAGGTAGAACAATTTAGTTCAATTAGGTTACATGGGAAAGGAGTTGTTCCCCAGGGTAGAGAAGGTTAGTACATCAAGAATGTTATTAGTTTAGACTATATATTATGTTTGAGAGATACTTAGCTTCTGTCTCAAACAGACTAGTCCCTTAATAAAATATTTCTCCTTTTTCATTTTTAATACAGATGAAAAGGTAAGTACAATATTTAACTTCAATCCAACTAGGTAAGCATGAACAACTTTTGTCTAATATAAATATATATATTTTACAAGTATCTATACATTAAGCATCAACAAACAGCATCTAATCACAGAAAATATTTTAAATATGTATATTTTTTAAATTTCCAAATAGTGGTTCACATAGACTTTGCAATTCTATGGATTTAATTATTACAAAAATCACATGATAGCAAAGTGCAAACTAATTTACTACATAGTGAACACATATATTAAAGGTGTTGTAACTTTCAATATCATCATTATTTAAATGTTAACATTTATTAAGTGATTATTATGTGATATGCATATATTTATGTATTAAACATTTATCAGTTTGGGGGATAGTGTCTCATAGTATTATTTTTATAACTAATAAGCAAGATACTGAATGCATAGTATTCAATTGGGTTTGCTTTCTCTCTTACTTATGCCAAACAGGCTTCTTGTTTGTTTAGACCATTGTTCCTACATTAGTGTCTACATTGAATTTAATTGAAATGACTACATAAATAAATATGAAATTGTATGCTCATGTAAGTGAAAAAAAGTATTATAGCATAGCACAATGAAAAAGGGCATTGTGGTATAGTCTTGAACCACACTACTGATTTGTGACCATCTTAGAAAGTCACACACAGCCCTTTTTGATGAGGGATATATATTTCTGGATTACTAAAATATCTGTCATTTCTTTATGCTTAATGTATTCAAAATCCTTTCTATAGATTTTATGATTGAAATAATAGGAGAATATTATTTTGTGCAGTCATACTATATAGCAGCATCCCAAAAATCTTACTGCTGACTAATTGGAATTTAGTTCACATTAATTAACCTTTCCCCATCCCTCGCTGGTTCCTGGCCACTCCACCCTCTGCTCATGTGCATTTTACCTTCACCTCTGTGGGATCATGCTATAGCATTTTATGATATACAATGTAAAATTTTAATCAAAAGAATTACAAAGCTATGGAAGACTTTCAATATTTTAAGTAATTGATTTTTGTCTAAAATATTATACATGACAAAAGTTTATAGTTTTTATCAAAGAAAATCCTTAGAAGGTCCTCACTGTGCGTACACTGTTTCTACCTCCCCCATTTGTGTCACAAAGAAGCTCCCACCTTCTTTACCATCCAGATTTACTAGTCTTAACATATAGTTATAGACTTGTCTTCCTTGCAGTGAATTATTCTCTTTTGGTTTCAAAATACACACCATATAGTATGGATGTGATACTCAAAGCAGGCAGGTGAAATACTACTTCTGCAAGAGTGAATAAAACTGCAATGTTCCTGCACACCTTCAATCCCACTCACCGACCTTATGAACATCACAGACAGACACCTAATGCATGCTTAGGGGGTGAGGTCAGTACTGTAGTTGCAAACCATTGTTTACCCTTAGGGAGTATTCCAATGAAGGAAATAACTTGATTTATTAGTCATTTATTCAGAAGGTTAGTAAATAAAATTTTGGGGAAAATATGCTAATAACCACATGTGAGGAAAACAAAAACACACACAAGGTAAATAACTCAATGGATTAATTGAGTTAAATGGATTAAATTCTCAGCCAAAAGCAATAACTTATGAAGTGAGTGATTTAAGACACAGAGATGAGGAGCGGTTGAAGCTCCTTCATATAATAAACAAGTAAATCAATGTGAACATTCTAGTTAGTGCTACATTCTGAGTGTTCATACAAAAAAAAGCTTTGTATTCCTTTTCTCACCATTGTAAAGTCTGAATAACTTACATTGAAATGTAAACAAAATTTTAAGATTAAATATTAGCCAAAACATTGATGGATTATTAGTATTTTACAAAGAATTGCATAGTTACGTGAAATAGTACAACTGAGGAAGAATTCTTAAATACCACAGTAAAACTACACTTAAAATATTAACTATATTTGTCTCTACAATATGTAAGATGCATATACAATATTTACCTTACAAACGAAATAAATTTTGAATTGACAACAATAGAAAACAGGTTTAGGAATAGAGATCATAAAACATGGGAACATAAAGAAAGGACTCATTGTTATTATAGCATAAGTACAGAATTTGAGGTTTGGGATATTTATATGAAGAACAAAACTTCAAACAATCTGTCTCCTCAAATATACAAGGAAGTATATTTTCTCTTAGAAGAATGAAACCAACAAAAATTCACATGAATATTTATTAATAATGAAAAGTACATGTAATTATAATTTAAGAATACCTGTAAAGTAGTATATATTATTCTGGGTATGGGAAAGAGAAGAATGTGAACATTCCTTGGATTACACAGAGAAAAATAAATATTTAACACAGTTAAATGATTTGTACTTCTGGTTAAATCATTCCCACAGATGAAATATGAACAGATAAATGCAAAAGACAATGTTTCCACAGTGAAGCAATTTGTCCTGCTGGGATTCTCTGACTTTCCATACCTCCAAGGGTTTCTATTTGGGGTATTCTCTATTGTGTATATAATTATCCTAATTGGAAACAGCCTCATAGTCATAATAACAAGACTTGACCCTACACTACAGAAACCCATGTATTTTTTCCTGGCAAATTTTTCTTCCCTAGAAATCTGTTATGTATCAGTCACTCTCCCAAGAATTCTGTTCAGTATTTGCACTCGGAATAGGAGCATTTCTCTGCTGGACTGTGCTATTCAAATGTGCTTCTTCCTTGTACTGGGAGCCACTGAGTGTTTCCTCCTGGCTGTGATGTCCTATGACCGCTACATGGCCATCTGCAACCCTCTGCACTATCCTTTAGTCATGAACCCCCAAAAATGCATCCAGCTGGCTGCTGTCTCCTGGATCAGTGGAATGCCAATCCAGATAGGACAGACCTCTCAAATATTCTCTCTGCAGTTCTGTAATTCAAACCAAATTGACCACTTCTTCTGTGACATACCCCCAGTTATCAAACTAGCCTGTGGGGACACTTCTGTGCATGAGCTTTCTGTGTTTATAGTATCTATGTTGTTTGCTGCAATTCCTTTTATGTTGGTACTTGCTTCTTACAGCAAAATCATTTCCACCATTCTGAGGCTGCCAACAGCCACAGGGCGTGGTAAGGCATTCTCCACATGTTCTTCCCACCTCCTGGTTGTGGTTTTATTTTATGGATCAGCAACCATTACCTATTTAAGACCAAAATCTAATCATTCTGCAGGAATTGACAGACTGTTCTCTCTTTTCTACACAATCGTGACTCCCATGTTCAATCCAGTGATATACAGTTTTAGGAACAAGGATGTGATTGCAGCATTGAGAAAATTATTATTTAAAACATAGTACCGTGTTTTCAATTGGAATTGTTTTATCTTCTCATCTTGTAGTTACCATAGCAACATTTCATCTGTATACATTTTCACTTTGAGGAAGCAATTATTTTCTTCATTTAATGCACTTTGTTACATTTAAATATTAGCCTGAAATTTTACCTGGAAAGCATGTGGATGCTTCTATAATAACCAAAGAGGAAGTAAGTATGCTTAGAGTTGTTTTCATAATAATTCCCCGTGATAGCCCATGGTATAACACGACATTCCTATATGGCTCTAATTGTTACATTTTACACAGATTTCTTCCTCTTTTGGTGGTGTGAAACCAAATTAGTTTACTTTTAAATATTTCGTCTCTATCTTAATTTCATTCCAAACAGCTATTTGTACGCATCCTCCTATTCATAAAAACTCTGAGTCAAATAGAAGGAAAGTGTTTCAAGTTGTTTCAGGATTGCCTGAAGTCCACACAACTGCATTGCATTCATTAATATAATTTGTTAAATTTTTCTAAAGCATTTAAAATTGCAAAATCTTTTTAGTGGCATTATTATGGAAAATGAGCATCCATCAAAAGAATCACAAATGTCCACATATATATTACAAAGTTCTCAAATCAGCAACTCATTTTGACTTGTACTGAGTTACATTTTCATTCCTCTAAAAATTATTCCATTCTCTAGCTTCAGGTGAAAGAGTACACTTGTATCCAAGGTGATGTTCTTCATCAACCCATTTGCTTCCTCCAACATCTAAAATAATGTATAATATTTATTTATGCATGTATGGGTATTTCTGTATCTTATTCATTAAAATAAATATTTATATATCCTTTATCAATTACTCATATTTTTTCTGAATTTGGCATATGTTCTATGAGAAAGACTGTGCTAATGATTATTTGAAAAATAAACATGATGATTATGGTGGAAAAGCTTGTGTTAATGGCATTATATGGAATTTTGTGAAACATGAATAACAATAATACCATTTCATGAATATACTGCTGTTCCAGGAGACACGTAACTGAATTTTCATTTTATCTTAAGTAGAATGTTGACTACTTAAATACCTCTTAACTACTTTTTCCATGGGATATAATCTCATATGGAGCATTAGTGAATAATTTGTGTTAGTTGGAGTTCCATCAAATGAACGCCATAAAAAAGTCATCACATTTCATTGAAATACTGCAACAGACAAGATAAATGTCACCATGAGATGCCCACCTCCTAATTTCAGAAAACTTTAACTACATCAACTTATTTGAGAAAGGGAACTTTGGCGTTATGATTGTGATTTTAAAACTTGGGATAGGAAGATTATTCAGGTGGCTTGTCCTATCATGTGAACCATTAAAAGAGATAGCAAGAAATAAGGGTGGGTTGGAACAGCAATAAAAGCCAGCAAACAAGCACAGGAAATACTCAGCTGGCTTAGTAAGATTTATATGTCAACTTGCCTTTATAGTGTGTGCTCAGATATTTTGTCAAACATTATTATGGTTGCTCGTGTGTGGATGGTCAGAAGAAAATATTCAAGTTAACAAACTGAGAAGCACACCTCCGACCCTAGTATAGGAAGGCTTTGAGAGCCTTATCCAGTCAGTTCAAGGTCTCTATAGAATGTGTCTAAACCTCCACTGAATGTTTGAGGAACTGGCTGCCTGAATCCCAGTGAACCAGAACCTTAGCTTTGTTTTTAACTTTGCATCTGCACTGAGGCATGAACATGTGTTGAGTCTCAAGCCTGTTGAAATTTGAACACAAATACACCTTCAGTTATTTTGGTTCTGAGGCCTTGGACATTCTGTTGAAGTGAAACAATTTGCTCTCCTTGATCCCAGCTACCTATGAACATTAAGGAATACATGGATTTCCAGCCTCCATTATCACATTGACAATGACTATGAATTGATCTTATTTATGAAATTAATATGATAGTATTATATGTAATTCATATTATTTACAATATCTGTATTCCATATATGTTTGCATATTGTGTATAGTATATTTCAGGAAGTTGAGTTAATGATGAGAACTTGTATTACTAATGGGAAAGTCTGTGCCATTATCAGAAAGATCTTTGGTATAAAATGATTTTGAATAAATCTTTCAGTCTTTTCTAAGAGCACCAAGTTCCATAGGAAAATTCACTGAGCTCATCCTTCAATTATTCCAAAATATTGTTGATGAAGATGAGTTTTACTTTTGATCTTCCATGTGAATCTTGAAATAATTTAAATATCAAGAGTTATAATTTTAATTATTTGAACTATTTTCTTTTTTTATTTTTTACATTTACTTACATGTGTATACATTCTTTGAGCCACCTCTCACACCCTGTCCTTTTTCTGGGCAGAACCTGTCCTCCCCTCTTGTTCTCAGATTTTGTTGAAGAGTAAACATGAGAGATAATAAGAAAGACATTGCATTTTTGCTAGTTTGAGATAAAGACAGCTGTACAGAGAGATTCCTAGTGTTGCTTCCATGAACTATTTTCCAAGAACCTCCAGAATAAGGGTTTCATTTTGGTATTCCAAGTTATCATATAAAGAACCCCATTAAAAAAGAAATCAAAAAATGCTTACTCAAATGAACATTAGCAATATTTCTATTATAACTACTAATGTGTTTTTAGACAAAAAACACATTGACAATAACCCTGTTGAGTACTAGCTAGGTGTTCTTTAAAACCAGCATGACTAAAGTCCTTCCATTTCCCTAATGATATTGAACATGTTTTTATGTATTTATTGGCCATTTGTATTAAATAGTTGAAAGACATTTCTTCAGTTCTTTGCTCAATTACTCATTTACTGATTGGACCATTTATTCTTTGGTATGTCATTTTGAGTTATTTTTATAGTCTAAATATTAATCCCTGGCTGAGGAATAGCTGGCAAAGATTTTCTCCCACTATATAAACTCTCTTCACTCTCTTGGTTTCTTTGCTATACAGCATGTTTGAGTATGATGCAACCCCATTGATCAACTCTGTTATTATCACATACAAAGTGGTGTGTTGTTTAGAAATTAAGAAGAATGAAATCACATCATTTTTAGGGCATAAATGGAGCTCATCATGTTAATCAAAATAATTAAGATGGAAGGACAAGTATCACAGGTTTTCTATCATTGGTGAATTCTAAAAGAATTATGAAATTAGAGAAACTAGAGCCATTATATAAAATGCTTAACAGTCCAAAATAAAATTGGGAAGGGGATCAGTGTGTGTGTGGAAGAGAATACGTGTCAGTAGTAGGAGGGATAAACACTCTCAAATACCTTACACACTCTCATGAAAATGTCACAATGAAATCCACTATTTTCTACAATTAATATACTGCAGAAAGTCCTTGAATTGTCAGCAATACCATTAAAATGCATTTGAAAATCCTGAATGTGTGTAAAATTATGAACCTGGCCACGTACAGAACAGCTCCTTTCTTTCCAAGTAGATTGTGTCGTTATTAGCCGGGCTTTCGTGGTACAATATATTAGTTTGTGTAGATCTGCAAGTGAAACACACTAATTTACATGCAAATCTGTGGTAAAGTACATTTACCACTCAGCATTGAATCCACAAGGTAATCTGTTTCATTTATTTCTTAGTAGATTAATATCTGCAAAATTTATTTTCAATATATTTATTACCATATATTAAGAGCACAAAAGGTTTTCATTGTGATATTTTCATACATTCTTTATGTAATATATTTGGATCATTTTTACCCTCTGTAATACTCTTTAATTCTTATCCTTCCTCCTGAGCATTTTATATTTATAATTTCAATGAGTTTCACTATTCTCTTTTCATACATTCATGTAACATACTTTGACAAATTCACTTGCATCATCCTCTCATTTCACCCTCCCTACTCTGACTGGCTTTCCTCCACCTCCAAATTGTCCCTTTTAACATTCATATCGTTTTAGAATTTTTTTAGGTCTAGAGTACACATTTGAGAGCAAACATGTGACATTACTCTGTCTGAGTCTGGCCTATTTCTAGTAACATGATCATCTTCAGTTCCATCTATTTTCCTCTATAAAATGTAATTTCATTTTTGATAGCTGAACAATATTCCATTTTCTTTATCCAAATTTTTTATCCATTCATCATTTAGTGAGTATGCAGAGTGATTCAGAATTAAAAGACACTATAGATCAAATATACTTAACAGACATCTAAAGAATATTCTACTCATCAGTCACAGAATACACATTCTTCTTAGCACCCCAAAGAACTTTCTTCAATACAGACAGTATTCAGGACATAAAACAAGTCTACAAAATACAATAGAATTGAAATAATTTCCTGTATATTGTCAGACCACATCAGAATAAACCTAGAAATCAACCATCAAGGGAAATGACAGACAAGTTCAAACATGTGGACATGGAGCAATTCCCATTTGAATGACCAGTAGGTCATTGAAGAAATGTGGTGAGTAATAAAAACATTCCTAGATTCAAACAAAAATGAAAAATCAGTCATTCTTCATTATCAAAACACTAAAGAAGGATTTTATCCAAACATAAGAAATACATATGATAAACATATCATGTATCATACCAAACACAGAAAACCTAAAAAGATTCCCTTTAATGTCAGGAGCAAGACAAGCATATCCACTCCTTCCACTCAGTATAGTAACTGAATTCTTATCAAGAGCAATAGAGCATGAGAAAGAACTGAAAGGGATATAAATAGGAAAGGAATAAGTCAAATTATCCCTATTTATAGATGATATAATACTATACTTAAATGACCCTGAAGACTCCATACACAAACACATACACACACACACACACACACACACACACACATACACAAAACCCTCTAGGCTCTGATAAAAAAAAGTTTCAGTCAATTGTCAAGATCAAAAATCAACATACAAAATCAGTATATTTTCTATATACCAACAACAAACAGAGATGTCAGAGCACATCACTATTAATGAAAAAGCTTTGGTTACCACAAAGATAAAAAAGAAAATGTATTATG